TTGGTGACAAAAGAATTTTTAACAAGCAGAAATATGGCTTGCTCTGGTGTGTAGTTGCAGCTTGCGAATCCAGAAATTATTGGGCCTTGGAATGCATGTGGTCAGCCGAGTGGACAACAGTGCATCCAGATTCATAGGGAACTATTGTCAGTATTATTTGAGTAACTGAAGATGTAGGCAGCAAAGATGAATGCCAACAATTATATAAAGTTGACATTGCAATTCATAGAATAGATACTGTCACAGACACCATTTTTGTTAAATTCATGTTTCCTGAATAGAAAAGACCTGTTGCATCTAGGGCCTAAACCACCGCGTTAGATAAAGCTGGGCTTATTACACTCATTTGTGAGGTTGCCCACTTTTAGTACAGAGGGCCATGGTTCCAAGAACTTTGTTAACATAGGTGTGAAAGAAAGTCTTCAGCCGACTTTTGAAGGTTGTCTCTCTAAAGACAACCTTTTCCTACTTTTTTTTGCATGCCTTTCAGAATGTAGTTGAAGCCACTCAGTTTCAAAACAGTCTTGATATCTTGGCTCAGGCTATCATTAGATCTTAACACCCAAGAGCATTGAGAAATAAAAAGCTCAAAGATAATTGTGTGTAGATCAAAGTCAGACGTGTTGATCTAATATATGATAATTGTAAGATATCTGCATCATATTCTTACATTCAAAATGTTTTAAGAGAAAGTGGTATGACACCCTTTCCAATGCATTTCATGAAGGTGGCTGCACTCCTGACTTTTAGGCTGTCAGCCCCTGTAATTTAACTCATGTCCGTACCCATAGTATCACAAGTACTGATAAATCGAAATATGAGTAGCTCTTCAGAAAATTTGCATGAATAAGAATTTGTGTTGTGTGGTGCTAGTCATATCATTTGTGAGTGAGGCACATGCACACACATGTACATATCTTGGAATTAGAAGCAAGGCTGATGGTTATAGGTGTGTGAGCCTATGTCATTACTGACTCTGTATGAGGCAAAACAAGTTTCTTGAAGATCTGGAGTTACTGATTTGCTCATATGTATGGTTGAAAAGATGTGTCCTTCCTTTCACAAAGAACAATGCTTAGTGTTATTTGAGATCTCTTTTTCCTCCTTTTCCTCATGCCAGCTATAGGCCTACCTCTCCTTCTTCTGGATCTTTTTTCCAATCCTTGTTTCTTTTATTCCTTCTCTCTGTCATTCTTTTTATTCTGCAGCTCTCCCCCTTCTTCTTCATATGAAGTTTGTTTTTTTATTTTGTCACATATATTGCATAAGTAGAAAGTATATAATAGAAGACTTTGATGTATTAGCTCACATTTTAGACGTACCAGTCAGTCATATGCTTATATGCCAAGATTTTTATTGGTTTTTATATCTGTAAATGTGTTTATGGTTATGATAATGAAGTTACTTGGATGATGTCAATCATTTTGATGTCTTCTGATTTTGATAGCATATAGCCTTTCGGTATGAATATTAAAATTGTTATATACCCCCATTCAGACCTGAGCAGACCTGATAATTCATTTTAATTTTATATACCAAATGCCAAAAATGGGGGATGGGGGATGGGTTGGAATAAGAAATGAATTTTGATTGGGAAAATTATATTACAAATTGTTTATAAAATCCATGCATTATATGAAAATCATGTCATAGAATTAGAAAGTTAATATCACCCTTCTGTCACAGTGTAAGTAGATGAAATAATGTGCCATTCATAGCGTTAATCTGTTTTGGACACCAGTGAGACGAGGTATATAGATGTGTGCAGGTGCAGGATGACTGTAGATTATCTGAACATGAAATTTGACTGTAATGGTGTTTAATCTAGGGAGTGATGGGGCTTGGATACGCATATGGCTGTAAGCTGATTAAGCCATGAATCCTGGTGGTGTTTATTATTGCCATGAAGCACCAGATCCATATGCTTGGTGGCAAGTATCCATGCCGTACTTGCTGCTTTGTTTTATATGCAGGAAACAGTACTGTGCTTGTTTGCTCTAGTTTGCGACTGTTGAGGAGGACGGAGATACAGCCTTAAAGAGGTAGGCTTATTAAAGTCTTACTTTTCTCGAAAGATTAAATGTGGCACGGCCAGATTGGAGACAGTGGGGAAAATATATAATTCACGTGGTTCAAATTTTTCTTGTGAATGGCGCACACTGTATGCAGTGCCTGTGACAAGCTTTGGCCTCAGAGTCCAGCCACGAGAAAACACGGGCTTTGGAGGGAAGTGTTTAAAGGGAAGCAGTTGGGGCACGTGCAAATAATAAATAGAGATAAATAGACATATTGTCAAGAATTTTGGATAACTGAAAGAATTATTGTAAAAAGGGAAGTTTTTAAGCACAGAAAGAAATGATTAATAAAGAAATGATTAAAAACCGGCAAATACCCTTAAAGCTAGATCAGCTTACTGTTCACAGGTCTGAATGGGACACAGTGATTTTTCAACTGAAATAACTTTTTCCTTCATACACAAAAATTCTTGAATTTTGATAATGAATTAGTCTATGTGATAAAGCTGTAAGTGATTGTAGAGATACAGTCTTCTCATTTTGTATTCATGTATTTCTAATTCTAATTTCAAGTTTTCTAATTTGACATCATTTTCCCAGGATGACGAGTACAGATTATTCATGTGCAACAACAACTGGTACCTGTTCCTCCGCTTACACCAAATTCTCTGCTGCCGTCTTACCACTATGTACGAACATGCAGTGCGAATAGCTGCTGAAGAAGCTAAGGATAGGAAAGACCGTAAAGAAGCTACTGCTGTCGCCCTCAGACTCAAACCCAAAAGTAAGTAGTGGTTGGAAATTTTGATATGTTTGTGTAATATATTTTTTGCATTCTTCTTCTTCTTTTTTTCTTTTCTTTGTCTTTGTCTATTAGTCGCCATGTTCTAAAGCAGGGGTTCCAGACTTAGGGGTCATGGCCTCCTTTTTTGGTGGCCATGGAGCAAAATGAAAATTTTGATATAGAATTAAACTGAATTTATCTCATACAGTACCTATATGTAATTATCTCTCCCATATCAATAAATTGGAATCTTTCCATAAAGTTTTCGTGTCTTGTAGCTATTGACACCATTGACTATTCATAAGTTGTAATAACTGAATCTGAAAAGAGAAGGAATTGAGTGGGCCATCGAGATTATTATTTATTGGTCAGGGCCACAGGATGAAAAAGATTGGGAACCACTGTTCTAAACCATGGAAATTAGTTGATCAGAATCGTATGTGTAAGATATAATGAAATACCCTTGGTTTAATCATTTATTTGCTCAGTATTTTATTTTGCTTATTTATTGTATATTCAATTGTTCCAGATGAGATTGCTGTTGAAGATTACTACCCTGCCTTACTGGACATGATCAAGAATGTCCTTGATGGTAATTTGGAACCAACAGCGTATGAAGATACTTTGAGGGAGATGTTCGGAATCCATGCGTACACAGGCTTCACCATGGATAAAGTAAGTGTCGTATGCTGTCTTTCTCTGTGACGAGGTTATTGGCGACTGAATATTTAGAATGAGGGCATTATGTTATTCTTGTACATAATTTGAATAAAGTCTCAAGAGAAAAATGCTAAATTTTGATTTGTTATTGTTACTGTTATTATTGTTGAGTTGGAGGTTATGATAATGCTGATAAAATGAATCCAAAGTTAAATTGGCTTACTGAACTAATAAATGTACTTTATGTAGTATATTCCCTCTTACCACAAATATCCTTTAGGGGGCAGCGTAAGGGATTCCAGATAGGATTTTTCTTCCTTGTCACCTTTTGAATGTTAACCCTGCCATTCTTACCCAACATATGTATATAATGTTCAGTTATTGAGCAAGTAAGAGGCAGTGCATGGACCACCTGTTTTTCAGGTATCTAGCTAAAGTTTTGGGTTCAGAAATTTTGTGTCCTTTATACTGGGATTTATCTCTACAGCCGCTAAAATGTCCCCAAAAAGATACTGAATATGCACTCCAAGAAAACATTTATGGCAGAAAACTGTTCACATAATAATAGTATGAGTAATTTATTTCCCATGAATAGCAAGCAATGGCCTGTTGAACATTTTTTTTTCTATGGATTTTGACTAAATTCTCATATAACAATGTTTTTGCAAAGCACACACAATTGAAGTGAAACATTCATTGTGTGTGTAATTCACTCTATCTTTTAGCTTTTAGGAAGATATGTGTGTGCACAGACCTCTCTAAGCATATTTTTGATTTACAATATTTTAATTTTGACTTGTACAAGACATTGTTTTTTATTTTCAAGTTGTCTTTTAAAAGAAATTAATCTGTTTTATTATTATTTTTTATTGTGACAATAAAATAACTAAAATCTTCAGGACTGCTCTATCTTTAAAAAGTCAGTAGTAACAGCTTGACCCAGTTTTAATTTTATATTGCAATTTGAAAAAAAGAAATGAAGATGGCATACAGTGGACTCTAGGCAGGCTGCTCTGTTTTTTCTTTCTCTCTTTCTTTTATCTTTTTTTGTAGGTTTATTTAAATAGAAAAAAAGGAAAATTGAAGAGGACTTAACCCATTTTATTTCTTACTTTTCAGGTGGTTACTAGTGCTGTAAGGCAGTTACAACACCTGGTGTGTGACGACCCCCCAGTCCAGTGCACCGCCATGTACCTGAGTGAGGCAAAGAAAGGTGCTGCTGGCGGACCTTTAGCCTCTGCACACAGACGGCTCGCAGCAGAACAGGCCTATCAGAAGAAGTCAGAGCGCTTATTACAAGATGAGAATTGCTTCAAAATTTACACTGTAATTATTTATTATTTCGTCTTATTCATTCAAAACCTTTGTTGGGATAAAGTCTGGATAATTTTTTTCTATAGCTTATGCATAAGGTGCAAAAGGTCTTGTGGAAATAACTGTGATTCCTTTTTCATTCTTTATAATCTTTCTTTTCATCTGTGAGGATAGATATTACAATTTATATTTATCAGTTAGTGACTTCTGTATCTATTCCTTTCCACAGTACAAAAGAAATTGTAGAATGACAATAGAACTGATAGACACGGAGATTGAGGAGGAGAATGACAGTGGAGGCAGCGCAGGCTCAGCAGTTAGTCATAACACCACAGTTCCTTCCTCTACAATTCCACCTGCTGTGCTGAGGTGGAAAGATGGAGTGCCTATGTTGAAAAATATGTTTCTTCCGTCGCACCTCAGGTTAGTATGCCTCACTTGTGCCGTTAGCTGATGGTCACATAAATGAAATATATTTTGTCTATATAATGGGAAATTCAGTATGGGTATTTGTGATATAATATATTGGTTTCTTTTCCCAGATGTCTCCTGCCATGCAGGCTCAGCTCTCCAGAAAACCAGTATTTCTCCCACGTAATCTTCGATCTTGGAGAAAACTGACAGCAGCAAGACAGACCAATCAGGAAGTAGAAAAGTATGTGTACCCTTTCATGGAAGAAGAATGCGTTCTTTTCAACTGTGATGATAATGTCCATAAGACAATAGATCTAGTTCAGTCTATTTATTTTCAATCATCTAACTAGTATGGTATGAAAACTGTCAGTTATATGTATATTTATATGGATGTTATTCGTACCCCAAATATGAAGTAAATAAGATGGTCGAACATGTTTTGCAGGGATAGCTGTGCTGAAGATGTAAAACCTCCTGTGTGTCCTGATATGGATATTGTGGACAACACTCAGTGCAAGTTCAACCTCTCCTCCTTCAAAATGGTATTTGTAGTGAACAGTGATTCCTACATGTACAAGAAGCAAGCACTCAAGAGAGCAAAACAGGTGAGTTCTTTTTACATAATTTCCATTTTTCTTTTGTAGTACAGTTGTTGGTCTACAAATCAAACTCCTTTTGCTTATTTAATAATGCATTAACTCTCTAATATATATGATGTGTTTTCCAAATTTCAGAGTCATGAACACGTTAGTCGAAGGATGCGCAGTGGCCTTGTTTCCTGGCACAGTGATTGGTGCACAAGACATGTATCAGAAGCAGATCAACGAGCTGCTACTGACTGGTTCCTGGGGCACACAGATGGGTTGCGGCCAAATTGCACGAGAGTAGTGCGCATTGACGATCCTTCCCGACCCCCATTTGCACCCTACAACAAGTACAAGTGTGAACTGGAAGAGAGTGGTGGGTCATAACATGTGGTGTTCACCTCACCGCCTCACTCAGCCATTGTCAGACTGATTAAAAGGGCGGGCAGAATGAGTGTCAGTGGAGGATCAAAATCCCACACTGTGAGCTGTGACTTTTAACTTTGCTCTAAGAGCAAAGGTGTGTGGACGTCACCTCAAAGTACAAGATTGTAGCAGGGATGGTGGTGTGTGGACCGCAAGTCGCAGCACGGAGGCAAGGAGTGGTGTTGGGGTGGGAAGAGACAGATTGAATAATACACTGTCTCAGGTTGCAATGAAGTGTTGAGCATGTGTTCTGTATATTATGCATCATAATGCATCAGTTATTATGAGTGATTCCTGTGGAAGTTGCAAGACTGGAGAAGACCAAAACATTTCGAGTTATGATGCAGAAAAAAGAAAAAAAGTAAAAAATAAAAGAAAAAAATCAATTGATGTGCCTCACGAATGCCTGTCAGTACAATGTAGTATTAAAATGTAAATGCGAGCTGCAGCATTGAAGCATCCCAGTGACAAGAATCTGCCCTCAAGGGACTGCCCCATTCACCATCCGTTGCACTGCATGGTCTCCACAGCACAAACTTGCTACTAAATTTTGCAACAACTCCTTTCTAATGTACTGTTGCTGGGACCGAGAGAGTGGACTCCTGAGTGAGCCAGTTGTACAAGTGAATGATAATTATAATTTATAGTTGTACAGATGATCTGATAATGTTTTTGTTAATAATGATGTTTCCTTGTATAAGACGGGATTGAGGGGAGATGTGGGTGGCAGTGGCAAATTGTTGTGGGCTCTTCACAGGCCAAATGATTTTCCTTGAGCTGAATAGGAAATAACTATTAATTGGTTATTTATTACCAGATATATATATATATACAGTGTATATATATAAATATATATGTAATCAGGGATATGAATTATCAGTGGCTTCTTGGCAGCCATAGTAATTCAATGAGATAAAGTCAAGAGGCAAGAAGTTATACATAAATGTGTAAAGTATTTTATAAGTATTCTACAGCTTCCTTCCCACACCACACACATCTAAAGTTACAGAACACATGTACACAAGCATATTTTCATATTCTACGGTTCTATAAAGAAACAGTATTCAGAAACTTTATTTTCTTTGTCTTTTTTTCTCCCCACTTTCTCCCTCCCCAAAAAATACATAATGTAGAGTCCTATTATAGTTTTAGGTCACCATGAACCCTCATCTCCTCTCGAACTCTGGACGTCTCAAAAAACTGCCGCGGCCTAGATGACACTGTTTAGCTTTAAGAAGTCAAGCCGGCGCGGGTGTGCGTACTGCCAGATTTTGTCTGAAAGAGGGTATCCTGTTGCCAAGGATGGGGCATTGCAACACAAAATACACACAAAATTTAAATGGGTTTCATCTGGAGGCACTGCTGAAACCACTGCCAGGTAGGGTGGTACAAGGGCAATCCGAGAGGTTGTGAAAGGTGGTGTCTGGCAGCTGAAGAAAGAGCCAGAGGAACCACATCTGAATTTGTTAAAATTGGAGTCTAATTCTAATTTGAATATATTTGAATTAATTTTTTAATAATGTTTGTGTCAGTTGTACAGTCATTACATTTGTGTTGTGAACATGTTCCTGCACCAAAACAGACTGTATGATTTTCTCTTACTTAAATAATGGTGAGAGCCAGTCATTTAATATATATTTTCTGCATTTTTAACATGCAATTCCATTTCCTCTATTGTAATATTCAAGGACAAGCATTTACTGCTTTTCACTCCAAACATGCCATGTTGAATATTGTGCCACGGGAAGAGGATACTGTCCAGAATATCTCCTTTAATCAACACATGTCAAATTATTTTTTGTAGTACAAGTATAGAAGGAAATACAGCACACCTAAGTTGGTGACTTCCGTGTATTTAGAGAAATATTTCTTTTCTATCCCTCGTGTCAATCACAGAAAGTGTTTGTAATAGACATATTGAAAACAATAAATCTTTTTACATTCTATTGAAACAGACATGTTCATTTCATTTGACCTGATTAGTGAACTAACCGAAGTATGTTTTCCTTTGAAGATAGATTTCGTCTAGACAAAGTATATATATGAAGTTCCTTAGAATTATCCAGGTACTTTAGCAGTACATGAAGTCTGTATAGGTATCTGGTATACCTTTTATCTCAAAACGTTCATTTAAGCTACCGGGGAGGTATTCACGAAAGGTCTATGGCTGTTCTTTCGGATTTTGTCTATGATTTGCGCCTTTGCCACATCTCAAAGTTAAATCTAGTAATAGAACAAATATTTACATTGTTATAGATTCTGTAAAAATGACTTGATTGCAACACTATGGTAGACTAGATATTGCAATAAATCTTACTCCTATAATGACAGTGTTACACATATATTTTAATTAATTTGGGCACCCATGGGTTGTCACTGCATCAGCCGTGAAACTTACAAATAGAAAATTGTTGAAAATGTAGAAAATGGTTCAGTTAATGGTTGCCAACAATTCAGTACGGGCATCCAAAGTCGTATTTGTCATTACTGAGGTGTGATAATTTTCATCTGTCTTTGACTCAGCAAATTTGTCAATGACTGCCCACGAAAATATGTGACAGGCAGTTTTCGTCTATTTCTCTTTCGTGAATACCATCCCTGGGACTTACCTTGTGGTCTAGGATGAGTACAAGACATCCATTGCATTTGGTAAATAAGCAAATTTGATACATGTTTATTTATTTAAAATAGTACAAATATGAAAATATCCATTAGTCACTCATTTTATTGTATTATTCTTATGTAAGAAATAAGATGGCAAGCTGAAGTTTCTAAAATGTTCCAAATTCACAATACTACGGCCATAGGCTACTGATATATAAATCAAGTTTCTCTTTTTTGAAATGTATTTCAAACAAAAATGTTCTTGGCAACTTAAAATTACTAAAATGACACAGTAGACAATTTTCAATTGGTTTGTGGTCCATGGCCTGAAACGAGTCGAGAGCCATGGACTTCGAGCAAGCTGGACGTCTGCCGGAAGACACACACTTCGGGCAAACGACGCCAGCGATACCACATGTAAATATAAGGCTGTATATATGGCAACTATGAATACCTACCTGTTAAGGCCATTTAGTAAAGGTAGATCATTTACCTGGACCTTTTTTAAGAGCTAAAAGTTTGTAGATTGTAAAATGATTAAATTAATAACAATAAGATCAACGCGTAACAAATCTGACTGCAATGAGTTATCTACAGGGTGAAATATGAATGTAGTAAACTATACATGACCACTTACACATTAACAGTTTCAATTGCTGGAAATTGTTCAGCAACGATTCTGAGGCCGATGTCAACTGAAGTTCCTGGACAGTTTGAATGTAAACCACCGGTATGACACCTGTACATTTTATCATTATAAATGTACATATTCAGATGTCACAACTTTTACCCGTTAAAACCAGACAATAATGGGCAATTGTCAATTTTGGCGAAGAATTCGTGACCAGGATGAACTATCCCAAAAACGAAGATAGCTTAAAAGATTTTCATTTGAAGAAACAATTCATCAGGGTCGATTTCTGGAAACGCTTCAATGTCTCGCTGGAGGAGACCTAGTACTTGCATCCAGCTTTTGGGGATCTTGCCTCGCGATTGACCCCAAAGGTGCAGTGGCTAGGTTGGCATTCTATCCACTGTGGCTCGGGGGACTTTACCGGGACAGGTGGGGCTGCAGTTAGCTCCGGGGATGCAGTATTGTTTTTATCGTTGCAAGATCACGATCATGCAAGAAGTGAGGGTTTTCAGACTCTGACATCTGGGGTTTAACCGTGACTGCCTGGGGCCATTGTGCTGTTTTT